TAATTAAGGGGGAATATTGTTCGATTGTTGATTTAACTTTTGATCATAAATGCACTATCATTTTTGCTTATGCTAATAGGGGGAAAAGTGAAATAATTATGCTTGGGCTGTAAAAGTTAAGGGGAACATGAAATACACGATTTCTATACTTATAAATTGTTGATATTACTTTGCAAATTCATCTTGTATGTCATAATAAAAAATGGGAAAATTATTAACATATGATTGACTCTATCATTAATGTTTTGATCATAACAAATAATTTTTGTTTCTAAAAATTTATTCTAAACTTTCAAAAGCATCAAATGTAATATTGATCGATCAAGGACAATATATCGATATCAAAACCTTCACACTACAAATCGGACTTACAATGAATGAACTCATGAAAGAAGGATACTGAATTAGACTTTTGTATTCACTTGTAAAGGTATAAACGCTTCAATTCTTAGCACTAAACGATAAAACTTAAAAAAATCATTTCATGTGCTAAAAATGACTTTGACTATCACTTACATAAAATGTTCTGATTAAAAGAGAAAATTGAATTTAAAAAAACATAAGACAAAATTGATCAAACTATTGAAATGCAGATGTTCGAACAAAGTAACGGATGTCCGGATGTCCACATGGATGTTCAATCATGTAATGATTACTTTATTTACCGTTCTGGCGTTAGTGCACAATGGATAGTTTTTGTACTTTTAGACAAGGAGGCGGCGTCAATTGACTGTCAGGTTCCACAAATACTTTTACTTTATGAACTTTATAAATACTATCTCACTTTGCATTCGTTTCAACACTTTTAAGAGCTTTTAAGCGAAATATTATTGAGCAAAATTATATTGATCTTACATCTTATTATCTTGATCAAATTATTTGCTTTGAAAATCTTTGATTGATTCAACCTTTGAAAATCATTTTTTCATCGAAGCTATTTCATCTAACATTTGAGTTTCATTTATTGTTATTCAATTGAAGTGTTCTCTCTTAATACTTAATTTGTTTATATCATTTATTAAGAGAGAAATTTCAAATTGTAAAATCATTTCTTATCAAATTTGTGGGTCATATTAGGGATGACAATTGGGCAAGTATAAGACTGGTCAGTCATTCTCACCCCCGTCCCATCGGGTATTTTGTTACTTTACTCCATCCTCATACCCATTTAAAGTGGGACGGGGCGGGAACCTGCCCAATTTATCGTCCCATTTATTTTTTCTTTTTTATTTATTTTATTTTTTGCTTTTATTTTTTTATGTCTTTACTTCGTAAATAT